AGCTTTCTGTAAAAACGAACAAGAACTGATTTATGTCGTAAACAACTTTAATTGATAAAGAAAAGTTAAACTGTGAGAACGCCCATTAAAAGTTTGTTTTTAAAAATAAGTTTTGACGTTTTTATAAAATATAAAACGCATTACAAGTTGACAGTATTGTAGATTCAATCGTAATGTTATGCACTATCTAGATAAAAATTTAGGTTAAGTAAAAGTTAAAGATAAATAACAGGGGTGTTTCAACTCTGTACAAATGAAGACTGCCAAAAAGTACAAAAACCTGGCTATTTAAGAGACCTAATCCGGAGTTCACCAAACCCCTTTTGCCTGATTTATGTCAATATCCAAAGGAGAGAGAGACGCTGGGATGTATTACTGCAAATGACAGTTATAAACTGTGCCTAAGGACGCAAATTACACCCGCGGACTTGAAATTTCCATCCTATATGTCAACGTCCTGACTGCCTTTCTGGGCCGGTTATAAATTATTTTTCCTAGGCTATTATTATACCAATCATAATGGTCAAAAGATATTGGTTGGCTTTTCACTTTTTAAGATAGCTTCAACTTAATAGTCATTAAAAATCGCGCTCTCACTTTCTCCAAAGGTATTGAAGAAATAAATTTATTTACAAAAAATGCAACATAATAGTAAATAAAAGGTTTTTAATACAACATTGATGTAAAACCATTTGCTGCAAGTATTTATTTAAAAACAAGGATAAATACATACAAACTAAGATTAATAAAGCAAAATTAAATCTTGTGAACTACAATACACAGGACGAAAAACACCCATAGAGGTACTCTAAAATTAAAATTAAAATAAATTACTAATTAAATTGTTCCACGAGCTCTCTGCTGTACTCAGATACACTCAATACAAACCAACCAGTACTCTGCAGTTTTAAGAGTCAATTTTTTTCGATGAAACTCTTGAAACTCTGTTAGAGACCGAAAAGAGAACTTGAACTTAGCAAAAATGGAACACTCAGCCATAAAATGAAAAAAACGTCTTCCCAGCGGAGGAATTACGTTTTTTGCCCTTAAAGTACATGGCAGATGTGATTTTCGCAAGGAAAAAAGTTAGTTGCGTCTTAGCAAACAATATAAAGGAGCTGTTTACAGTAGCAGACACATAGGTTGTTAACAGCAAATAGAAAACCAAGTGACCCATAACAGCCTTGTGGTACACTAAAGTTTCACAATTTGTTTCCTGCCTTTCAACAAACATTCTCTCAAAAGTAGGCTTTTGGATACATCCCATAATATTTTAATTTAATCAGGAGCATTGGATGTGAAACACAATGGAAAGCATTAGACATATGATGAAGGTTTAAGGCTTCTCATAGTTACTTTCAAAAGAATTTATGATCTATCTTAAAATGGATCAGCAGTATCAGTTAGTCAAAGATTCCTCTTATTTACATACTTTTGAACGTAGACTATTACTACTCACTTCGCTTTGTTTTCCTTTTTATGAGGCAGTATGTGTTTTTGTGACTCTTGTAAATACAATAATGTTCATTAATATGGTTAATGGGAAAACCAACTCAAAGCCGCCTTTTGACCAAAGTAAATGGAAAACTAAAACATTCTTTAGTATCTTATCATGTAAACTTAAGGATTTCTGTTAGTATCCTACACTGAGTACATTTTTCTTTATTCAGTCTGGTCCTCCACTTTTTGGACCACTACAAAGGTATTCTTGATTGAGGTAGATTGGATCGTATACGAGTTAGAAAACTTAGGTGGTTATGATTGTATTACGGTGTAGGTATATCAGCAGTTTAAATTATATAAAGTTTAGGGCCAAAAATGTCCCCTTGTGGGACACCGGCTTGTATCCGTCTGACTTCCGAGCACTAGTTGGCGCACCTCACTCCATATAAAGCATTCCTGGGTGCCAGACCCTATGAAAAGCATGGGCTACATCTAGGAACGGACCCGAGCAATACCCTTTGTTGTTTTCTAGAGCAGATGAGATGGTGGCTTGTTGGAACGTGGAATGGTGAGGACGGCATTGGTGAGAAGGAATGATTAAAGGAGTACCTAGGATTGGTACTAAGCGTTTCAAAATGAATCTTACAAGGATTTTGGAATGAATAATAATAAATAATTATATCGGGACAATATTGATTGTGCAGCTCATGTTACTGAAACGTATACAAGCCAATTCAAAGTAAAACTAGTTTTGCAATGTACAGATCAATCACGTGCCAGCTTTTACAATATAACTGCCAAAAGTTGATTAAAAGCCATAAGAATTCGTAAATTTTTATAATATACTTAAAAATGGGTGGAGGCAAACAGTGGATAGAAAAATAAAACCGAAATTCTATTAGAAAAATTGAAACAACTGGAATGTTGAAGCACAGAAATGTCTTTAAAAAAAAACATTTATCTCTGCCGAGGTGGATTACTGTTGAAAAATTATATCAGCAGCAGCGGCCGATTCGTAAAGTACTCATCCGACTGCTATCGTAAAATGTTTCATTTTTGTATTTGTTAAATTATAATAGCCCTATGTTGGAGAAAATACTACCTGGGAAATACCAGGGCAGTTGTGAAAAGCTCTCAGAGACTCGCCAGCTGAATTTATTCGTCCTTGGTACCAGTGATTAAGCGAAATCTGAGCCTAATCGATATTTCACATTGGAATATAATAAGCTTTATAACTCTATCCCGAGACCTGGCCTAAGCCGTTAAAACAGTTAGGAGTTGGCCCATAAACGCCATTGGGCATCCCTCCAGTGAATTACCGGACTTAAATTAACCCTAGAGATGCGTCAGAAACGATCAACCGATCCCACTTCGAAAAACCTAGTCTGCCAATGTGAATTTTCACCCTTGCCAACAACAGAAAAAGGCGTTTTTCTGGAAACGGAAAACATGCAATCAATTATGTATCATTGATGAAAATAAAATTTTTAATAGATTGATTTTAATAGATAACAATTTTTGTTATGTCATTCCTAATGTTAATTTTTGCATAATATAATTTTTAGTAAAATTATTCATATATTAACTTGAGTTTTTGATTAATTTTTAATTTATTACCATACTATAGTGCGATATGCATTTTCAAAGTCAGTTGAGTAATTTTCTCGTCCTCCATCATTAAGTTTTTTGTTTTATATGTTGCTAGCTTGATCTGGATCGATAATTCGTAAACTGAATTTATATGTATTCGTTTTATAAATTTTAGTTCCATTTTAAAACATATATAATAGTATGCAATTTTTTTATAACTTTAAAGAAAAATAGAATTACTGTTAGGCCTATCTATACAAATGTTCTTGTGTGTGTGTTAATTATAAAAACGAAACCTACTGAACCGATTTCTATGAAACTTTCACACTTTGTTTTTATTAGTGCCGGGCGAGTTTAGAGATATAACACGGGCATCTAAATAATGGGCGTCAGGATTTACAAAAAAAAGTGATATTTCAGGAATTTGCGGCGTCCCTTTTCACATCTGTTTTCTCAGCTTTCCGGCTCCAGGTTTGATACACGTTTCCCTCGTCTCTCGAAAGACGATTTGGAGGCGATAACAGTCAATACACGCAAAAACTACTCTACGCTCTTTAGTCGCAAAAAATCGGTTACAGTTGCAAAACTACTGATACATTATAGTCGCAAAAACTACAGAATTGGTTTCGCTGATATAAAAATAGGAATATACAAACTTCACCGTTGTATCTTTATTATAAGCAGCAGTGGTCTAGTTAGGAGAACGGACGTCCGGCATGTGGCCTGACAGACGAGCATTCCACTCAGCCAAACAGTCAGAACTGTCAAAAGTGATCCAAGTGAAGGTTTATTTAGTATACAAAGACAAAGACAACAAAAATCGATTTTGTTTTATGTGTGTAGACGTAAACAATTATAAATTATGTAAAATGTTATTAAACATGGTTTTACCGAACTCGTACCTTTTAAATTAAATGTGCTACACAGTGCTGTTTGCCAATTAGATTTATTATCATTTGGAATTTGTAAAGCGAAAGGTTGTAAAGATAATATGTTTTGTAAGTTTCTTACTGTTCAGTATTAATTGTGATGATTTTTACTGTATTAGAATTATATTTAATCGTATGTACTGACTTTTTGAATCTGTTGTAGAATTGTATTTTGGTATTGTTTAAAATACGACCAGAACGACAACATATTGAACGTAGAATAATATTAATATTCTTACTGAAATTCAAATTTAAGCATGAAAGGAAGGGGTTATTTACCCCGCCCCGAGGAATATCGAGTACTCTGGGGTGAGTGTGTGATGTCTGGAGAGTAAAAGTAAGTTATTAGCAAGAATGGAGTGGGTTTAACCCTGCCCCGAGGAATATCGAGTGCTCTAGGGTGAGTGTGTGACGTCTGGAGAGTAAAAGTAAGTTATTAGCGCGAATGGAGTGGGTTCAACCCCGCCCCGAGGAATATCGAGTACTCTGGGG